GTGGAGTGATTCGAATCTCAAACAATGTTCTTGCCTTGAGATATTCGATCAATAAGGTAATCCGAATCTTACTCCCCTTGCAGTGATTTCCACATATCAGTTACAAAAATTTAATCTGCAATTTTTACATTTATATTTATACCGTCTTTAAACTCTAAAAATATGTTTAATAAGTATTTCAATTTTCAATTTTTAATCTAATAAATTCATAAATTTTAATTTTATATGGTCTCTTACCCATTAAAAATTGTAAAAATGTTATATTGGACAATATATATAATTTTGAGTTTCATTTAGAAAAAAATTAAGGTAAATAATTTTATATATAATAAAATGATTAATTTTTAAATTTACATGTCTCAAATTAAAAGAATTAAAATTAAAATTAAAATGAAAACACAAAATTATTAAAAAAAATAGAATTAAGTTATTTTTAAATTGCACTAATATATAATATTCAAATTAGTAACATTAGTTCCAAAATTATAATAGCTCATTATAGAATTATCCAGCAATTTTTTTTAAATAGAATTAAATTATTTTTGTGCATTAAATTAAAAATATTTGTAAAGATGTAAGAAAAAATAAAAAATAATAAAATTAATTAATTATGTAGGTTAATTAATGAATAATTTTAGTATGTAATCAATTTCATTCCTAAATAACATTAATTTGAAATAAATATTAAATACATACTTAAATAAAAAATTATTAATTTATTTTAATTATATTAATTTTGGTAAATAAAGATGGATTAATTAATTAAATAAATAAATAATATAAATTTATAAATAAAGATGAAAAATAAATTAAGGGTATCGAATACTCGTGTCTACGAGTGTAATTGTTGCTTAGGAATACCTCGTTTAAATCGCCACTCGTGGCCCATGCTTATCTGAAAAAACTATTGTATATTTGGATTGACGTTTTTTTTTCCTTAAAAGCATTTTCCGTCTCTTAGAACATAATTTTAAATAAGTTTGTAATTGACAAATGATGAATTTTTTATTTCAATAAAAATAAAGAGAAAATACAATTTGACATATTAACATGTTCTATAAGTTCAACGCTTGTCTTGACTTTAAAATAATTGATGACAGTTACTATACTTGAGAAGCCGTGAATCTCATTAAACCCTAAACTCTAAAATAAAAGCTCGTCTGGAACGACTCACTTACTTTATTTTGTCACCTCTTTTTACAATTACAAAGCGAGAAGAAAAATAAGGATGAGAAAGAGGTGTCTCAGTCCCACGTTGGCTAATTAAATTGACAACATCATACCATTATGGAGATTAGTGGTTCTTAACCGTGATTATGGCAGCCACAGGAGGTGTCCACATGAGAAAGGCTAGAGAAGAAGATGAGGTGGGGAAAGAGAGATCTCCCATTACGACCTCTAATCTCTCGAGAGATCAGAAGTTCAAATTGCTATAAATTTTACTGTCAAAACTAGGTATACGAGAGAAAGATATGCCATTAATAGACACTCGACCCCATTTAACTGTTAGTATCGATCCTACTTAGGGGGTGAAAAATAGGATTTTAAATTTGAATAATTTACTTGGTAACGGGTTGATTTATAATTATTCGCATACAATAACATGTACTTGCGTGATGTCGAACTCAGGCATGAGTATCCTGGCCTTAGTACCACTCTAGCAAACTCATTAATACAAAAAGATTCTTAATATATGTTATGTATTTGGCTCGGGTTAACTCGAAGGTTTTGTTCACGAACTCAAAATCAAACCGATTCAATTCGGGTTCAGAAAAATGAACTCAACCCTGTCCGAAATGCTAATCCAACCCAACCCTTTGGGTTGGTCCGGGTTGTTGGGTTGAATGTACACCCCTATCGGCAATGGTGGTTATGAAATTGAATACCTGCCCGACCAAAATCTCCACGTCATCCCAGCTTAATACTATGGTGCCACGTGTCATTCATTTTTCTTTTTTTTAGAAAAAAATAACATTTTATATATCTATATTCCAAAATAACATTTTTTAATTTTTTTTAAAAATGTATTTTTAATATTTTTATTTTATATTCTCAACTTAATTAGTTGAAAATAAATAATATTATATAGGCGACAAAACAAATAATTTTTATAAAATAAGTATTAATAAAATTAAGCATTTTAATGAACAACGGACAAAAATTCAATAAGACAACTCGATTTTGCTCGTGTTCTTAATAATTATTGGACATAAATTTGTAATTTCATCCAAGAATTTCTTAGAAATGGGTGGCCTTCTAGAAGCGATCAAAGTCGAAATTTCTTCGGATTAGGCGGCTGCAAAAAGCAATTCAATCCAAAAGATCCATTTCGCCACCAACTTTTCTGATTCCGGCCACCATTTTAAATCCCCACCCACCACCGATTTCCCATCTCTCCGATTCGATTTTCAAGTTTTTGATCGTCTTGTTTTCTCTCCGATGGATACATTAGAGGAGGAAGAAGAATACAACTGGAGAGAAGTCCGGCTTCCGTCGCTGATCCCGGTAGTGCCGGAGCCAGAGCTAGAGAGAGAGACGGCGGTGAGACGTCGTGGCCGAGACATTCTCGTTGCCGTCGATCATGGTCCGAACAGCAAACACGCTTTCGATTGGGCTATAATCCATTTCTGCCGCCTTGCCGACACCATCCATCTCGTCCACGCCGTTTCCAGTAACAAATCCTTCAAATCAAATACAAAAAGAAAAAAAAAAAAAACCCTAATCCAGAAATCCCCATTTCACTGATTCCATTGTTTTGTTTAATTAGATGTGAAGAATGAATTGGTTTATGAGTATAGTCAGGGGCTGATGGAGAAGCTTGCGGTGGAGGCCTTTGAGGTTTCCATGGTGAGTACTCATTGAGTGCTGCTCTGCTGATTTTGGCTGCCATTGAGTACTCATTGGGTGTGTTCTTTTGTTTCTCAGGTGAGGACTGTGGCAAGGATTGTGCAGGGAGATGCTGGGAGGATTATTTGCAAGGAAGCAGAGAAGTTGAAGCCTGCTGCTGTTGTTATGGGCACTAGAGGAAGAAGCTTGATTCAAAGGTATAATAGATGAACATTGCTGATTCCTTGGGAGATTTTTTTGTTTTCAATCCTTTAGCTTACTTGATGATTCATGTGTTTTGGTTATAGCATTTAATGTTTTGGATGAATACACTGCAAAAAGATAAAGATCTTGACCAACTTTTGAACCAATTTGAATTAGAGACTAGGGTATTTTACTTTGTGATTAAGAAGTCGAGTCTAGATTCAATATGCGGTTTTGTTTATCACTAGCTATGTAAATTTGGATTCATGAAACCCCGGAATGTATTGAGGTGTAGTAATGGACTTGATATTTGGGGCCAAGTTGTAGTAGTTCAAGCCCACCGCGGGTAAATATTGTCCTCTTTGAGCTTTCCCTTTTGGACTTTCTCTCTGCTAGGGAAAGGTTTCCACACTCTTATAAAGAATGTTTTGCTCCCCTCTCCATCTGATGTGGGTTCTCACATTCCCCTTTTGTAACCGCCCAAACTCATTGCTAGCCGATATCGTCTTCTTTGGGCTTTCCCTTTTGGACTTCTTCTCAAGGTTTTAAAACGCGTCTATTAGGGAAAGGTTTCCATACTCTTATAAAGAATGTTTCGTTCCCCTATCCAACCAACATGGGATCTCACAATCCACTCCCTTCAGGGTTCAGCATCTTCTCTGGTACTCGTTCCCTTTTGTAATAACACAAGCCCACCGTTAACCGATATTGTCCTCTTTGGACTTTCTCTTAAGGTTTTAAAATGCGTTTGTTAGGAAAAGGTTCCTACACTCTTATAAAAAAATGCTTTGTTCCCCTCTCCAACCGGTGTGGCGTCTCACACAAGTTGTTTCGGCGTTCGCTTAGAACGATATTGAGACAAACTTTGAGTTTCAAATTAACACATATCAAGGTCGAGTAATGAGATGTTGGAGATAAGCTTCATCATCTAGAGAGAAACAGCCTCATTACAATCGAAAGTTGGTTGCTACATTCAAGAAAGACGATGAGAATCGCTTCTATATAACATACACAAATCCATGCTTTTATAATCATACACAGTTCATATAGAACTTCAAGGTTGACATCTAGGAGTCAAAAAAACAGTTCCTATAGAGATATTAAGACAATGTAGATCTGTTTTCTAATGGTGGGAATTGGCTTTGTTCGTTCCTTTTCATTTCCAGTGTTCTGCAGGGAAGTGTGAGTGAGCATGTCTTCCACAACTGCAAATCAGCACCTGTTATTATAGTTCCTGGAAAAGGTAACCATAAAGGGGAATTTTGAATCCTTTTGCTTACAGATTAAAGCCTCAAACATCATTTCATTCTGTTTTTGATTCTGTTTTTGAGTTCGGAATTCTGTTTTTGATTTGTGACAGAAGCTGGAGAAGCATCTGTGATTTGAATGCCAACTTCATCATTTCATTCTAAATCTCTGTGTTCTTTTTTGGTTTTAGTATTAAAGTTTTAGGGTTGTAAGAACGTGATTAATGTGTGATTAATGTATCTGTCTATCGTGTTCTTGTTCTTGTTCTTCCAACTTTTGAAAAATGTAAAATTTTATGTTTTTTTTTAGTGTTTTTAGTCAGACTTTGAATGAATCTTAAAATATAGTATATTGATCGGGACTAGGAGGGCTCGTTTGTGGCTTCATCTTTGTTTGTTTGACATGTCATGTTAGGAAGATCAACCTTTCAAGTTTTTGAATCCAAAGTGCCTTGTTGAGTGAATGTGATTGTGTTGAGAGATAGGTTGTCTCTTTGGGACTGGGAGGGATCGTTCGTGCCTTCATCTTTGTTTGTTTGACATGTCATGTTAAGAAGATCAACGTTTCAAGTTTTTGACTCAAAGGTACCTCGATGAGTGAATGTGGTTGTGTCGAGAGATAGGTTTGTCTCTTTGAGACGGGGAGGGATCATTCGTGGCTTCATGTTTGTTTGTTTGACATGTCATGTTAGGAAGATCAACATTTCAAGTTTTTTGATCAAAGATTCCATCGATGAGTGAATGTGGTTGTGTCGAGAGATATTGTAACATCCTAAGTCTACTGCTAACAGATATTGTCCGCTTTGGCCCGTGATGTATCGCCGTTAGCCTCACAATTTAATGCTTCTATTGGAGAGATGTTTTTACACCCTTGTGAAGAATAATTTGTTCTTCTCTCCCGTCAACGTGGGATCTCACAATCCACCTCCCTTGAGGCCAGCGTTTTCGCTGGCACATTGCTCAATGTCTAGTTCTGATACCATTTGTAATCACCAAAGCCCACCGTAAACAAATATTGTCCGTTTTGGCCCGTTACATATTGCCGTCAACCTCACGGTTTTAAAACGCGTATACTAAGGAGAGATTTTCACACTTTTATAAAGTTTGAGTCTACGAGTTGGTTAATTTTTTTTTAATTTATTCTCTTTTGTTTCTAAATTTGATTAAAGTTTTTAATCACCGACCTTCCTACCCAATATATAATTTTAAATCATTGTTTTTTTTCTCGATTTAAGCCTAACTTAAATAGCTAGAGATCGTTAATTCCTCGAAAACCAAAACCCGATAATAATTTTTTATTAATATAAATAAAACATATGACACTAAATTAGCATTTAAACAATATTTCTACCATAACTCAGACACTGAAACACTAATTTAATGTTAAAATGGAACATGTTTTTGGTCTAGAAATGTTTCATTTTCATCTTCAATGGATGAACATTGCTGCATTAAAAAGCTTGAAGACGACAACAATGGCGGTCCTTCTTCTTCAAAGCTCATACCATGAAGACTCTGTAATTCGCCTCCCCAAGTTGATGAGTGTTCAAAATGCTATAGAAAAGAAGAAAAAAACCATTAAAGTAAAAATAAATAAATAAATAAATAAATAAAAACCACCAAATTGAGAAAGGAAATTACAGTAATAGAAGATGAGTTGAAAAATGAAGTTTCTGGGATTGTTAAAGAGCTCGAGCTCGAGCCAATTTCGAGTTCATTAAAGTTGGACGAGTAATTAGCCGTTTCAGGTGAAATTTCTATCGTCGGAAACACCTGTAAATTTTAACGGAAAATTTGTTAGAACGTTGTTTAGATTTTTAGAGAAAATTACATTTCTAGTCTCTAAATTTGAATGTCTCTAAGTTTTAAAATCAAATATTCTCTGAGGTCAGAAAATCATCTAGTTTGGTCTCTAGACGTGACGTTTTTTTTATAATAAAAAGTGGCGATGTGTGCAACTAGAGAGGGGAACGAAATATTCTTTATAATGGTATGAAAACTTCTCTTTCGTGGATACGTTTTAGAACATTAAGAACAATATCTACTAACAGTGGGTTTGGGCTGACTCTCATCTCCTCGTATCGTTCCTTTCAAACTTCAAAGGTCAAAACTGTAATTTACCCTAAATTTTATTAATTACGTCACAAAATAGTATATATATATTACCACAATGGAATAGACATCAACCTAAGATTAGGATAAATTAATAAAAATACACTTTCAATTTCTAAAAAAATTCAAAATTACCCTTATCCTTTAAACTCAAAGAGCCGTAAATATAAGAGCATGAATGAAACTTTTGAAAATTCAAAGAGTATTTTTGAAACGAACAATCTTCACCTGCTCGATGAAGAGGTCATGGACATTGACGAGATCCGATTCGTGATTGAAAGCAGCCAAGTTCATGGATAAGAACTGCTCAAAAAAAAAAAAAAAATGAAAATCAAAACTTTTAGTGAAAAAAAAAATTAAAAAAACTTGTTGATTTATTTATTTGGATGAATTTTATGACCTCCACTTGTTGCTGTAGAGATCGAACGTAGTTTATAATTTCATCGAGCATTCCAGCTTTTCCAGTGATTTTGTTGCACCCAGGGACTAAATTCTGCAAATACTTCATTCTCACACTTATCTTCTCTCTCCTTGCCTGCAGTCATTTCAAATACTTTGCTTCAAAAATACCTTTAAATATTTTTTAAATTTTCAAAAATATTTTTATCGTTCATACAAAATTTAAAATATTTTTATCGTTCATACAAAATTATTAGTATCACGTCTTAAAAATATTCATTCAATTAAAAAAAAAAAAATTCTTAAACTTTCACAAAATTTTAAAATTTTGAACTAAGAACATTAATTAATTAATATATATATATATATATATATTTATTTATTTATTTATTTTATACTAGTATTACAACTTTTAAAATTATTTCGAATTTTTAAAAATTTTTATTAATAAAAAATACATTAATATCACATTTCAAAAAATACTCAATAATATTAAAAAAATACTTTTTGAAAACAATTCTGATTTAAAAAATACCCTTAAACTTTCAATAATAACTTTAAATTAAAAAATATATATATATATATATACACGTGGAATGAAACCGTCAAAACGACATTTCAAAAAAATTTATAAATTTTAAAAAACAACGTTAAAATTCTTAAAAAAAATTTAAAAAAATTGTAAATTTTTTTATGAGCGAGCATATATTATAATTTTAGTAAATATGGTATTACAATAATAATATTTTTGAATTTCATTTTTAAGAATATTATTAAAATTTTAAATAATTAATTATTTTTTTTTTATAGAAAAAATATATTTAAAAACACGACCGGATTCTTACTCTTTCGGCAAGACTATGGCTGTCGGTGGCTTGGCCTCGACGTGCTCTGACATGAACATAATCCAATTTTTGAACTTCTTTACAATCTTTTGAACTCTGTTTCGATGTCTCTGTTTTCCTCTTCTGGTTTCTCGATCCACTCCGATTGCTTCGCAGCTCCGGCCAACCTCCAGCTGCCATCAGATCCTCAAAATGCTCGACCCGGCTCGCCGGAGTCGAGACAGAGCACAAGCTCCTGCAATCGCCGTCGGTTCGCCGCCATTTTACTCGACCCGTCTGTGTTTCCGACACTGTCGTCTCCGCCGCGAACATGTCTCCGGTCGGCGACGCAAAAGAGTTAATGGGTTTTGTTGTTGAAGAAAGTGAGTGGAAGAGATGCGATTTATAAATATGTGCGTCACCGAATTCTGACAGCAACGGCGGACGTTATGACGGAGAAAGACAGAGCCGACGCCATGGGCGGTGGGGCCGGTGACGTGACGGCCACGTGGTTATTTTAGTAAATTGCTTTATTAGCGACCGGGGGGAATTCCGTCAGAGATTCAGAGGAGTCGTTTGTGAATAGAATGGGTCAAGTCTGATATGAATTTACTTTTGTTTTTCTATTATTATTTCTTTCATTAAAATATGTAAATAAACAATTGTAAAAATTATTTAAATTAATATTCACGTCAAATAGATATATCAGCTAACGGTGGACTTGGGTAGTTACAAATGGTATCAGAACTCGACACTGGACGGTGTGGGCTCTCAAGGAGGTGGATTGTAAGATTCTTTAAAACCGTGAGATTGACAGCGATACGTAACGGGTCAAAACAGACAATATCTGCTAATGATGTACAGATATATTGACACATTGATGAATAAATTAGCGTAATGAATACTTATTATTGTTCATGTGTTACTTTTTCGAATGAATGTACTTTTTAACTCAAATTACATTCTACACTGGTTAAATTATAAATTTAACGTAGCGGGGAATATAACCTTTATCCTCGACCCTATTTAGCCAACAGGGAGAAATCTCTATCCGCTCCTTCCTTCCTTCCTTCCCTGTTTGGGATAGGTTCTCGTAAGGTCCCAACTCGTTAAATGCACATTTTTATTATTATACATGATCTTACACGTGTTATAATCTTGACTATTGAAATCTTTACATACGAGTCATAATTTTTCGACTAAAAAACATGAGCGTTAAAGAAACCATCGAGTAATAAACCCTAGTTGAAATGAAATTACTTGGGGTAAAAAAAAAAAACCAATGGAAAAGGACCCATGGAGTGAGGTAACATGTTGTGTTGGCAAAAGCTTTAAATGGTTTGATAACTACTCATGCAAGGACTACAAAAAGAATTTATATATATATATATATATATATATATATATTCCCTTCTTTTTGTTTAGATTATTAGAAAAAAAGAAAAAAAAAAACCGACTTTATTGGAGATTATTCGAACATCTGACCACTTAATATCTGGTACACATATGTCTTGATAAGTTGAATTATTGCAACAACCCAAGCCCACTACTCGTAGATATTGTTCGTTTTAGCTCGTTATATATCATCATCAGTCTCACAGTTTTAAAATGCGTTCGTTACGGAAAGGTTTCCACACTCTTATAAGAAATGTTTCGTTTCACTCTCTAACTGATTTAAAATCTCATAATTATGCTCTCGAGTTAGTTAGTTAAATTAAATACCAGCGATTACATAAACGTTTTATCTTTTAGTCAACAATTGTCGAAATCGAAGATCGAGGATTCAACATTTGGAATGATAATTACTATTATCATGTTCATTGAGCTATGTTCAAATTGGTTTCAACCACGTAAGTTTAGACCGAAAAAAGAGACCAATTATTGTTGTTGTTGATGTCCATAAATTCCCAACCATGTGTAAATTTCAGGTAAAGTTTGCACCTTTATATGAAAGATATTTATAATTTATAAGAAAAAAAAAAAGGTGTTTCATTGCTATGTGTCACAATCAACCTGTATTTCAAGAGTGTATTATTGAATTTTAACATGTTTTTATTGCCTTATTTAGTTATTTCTACTCTTTTACACTGTTTTTTTACCATGTTCTTGTCTCTATGCTCTTCAAAATCATGTTTTAATCATTGACACTGAATATAATAAATATTATAAATTATAATTGTACGTTCCACTCATTGGAGTGAGTGGGCAACATTACTGGGTGAAGCACGAGGTTATGGTCGCCTCCCATGTTAGGGGTGTATATGAGTTGGGTTCGAGAAATCTTTTTAGACTGGCTCAAAATGTTGATTAGGTCATAATAGTTAAGAGTTTTTATAGGTATTTAGTTAAGAGTTTCTTCACTTCAAACTTCAATCTAACATTTGGTATCAGAGCATCAATTTTTGAGTGATCAAATAGAGAGAGTATGAGTGAAGACAAAACTTTAACGAAGATCCCTCGCTTCGATGGTCACTATGATCATTGGAGTGAGCTGATGGAAAATTTGATCAGAGCAAAGAGTGTATGGAGTGTGGTGGAAATTGGTTTCTCAGAACTAGAAGAAGAAACAATGACGCACAAAAGGGCCACCTTGATCACTCACTTCGACGGTCACTATGATAATTGGAGTGAGCTGATGGAAAATTTGCTCAGAGCAAAGAGTCTATGTAGTGTGACCATAATAGATACTGTGAGAATGATCATTGCTTTTGCCGCCCAAAAAGATTGGAAACCCTATCAGTTAGATGTTAAATCAGCTTTTATATATGGAGAGTTAAAAGAAGATACTTTTGTTGAACGACCAAAAGGCTACGAGAAAAAGGGAAGTGAGGAGACGGTGTACAAACTCCAAAAGACTCTCTACAGATTAAAACAAGCACCTAGAACCTGGTTTAGTCGAATACAATCCTACTTCATCAAGGAAGGGTTCAAAAGCAGTTCCAGCGAGCAGACAATGCTTACAATTCGAATGGTATTTTTATACGTCAAAGAAAGTATGTTGCTGAAGTTTTAATTCGATTTAGCATGTTTGTAATCCCATTGTTCCAGGATAGAAAATTGGCAAACATGAAAATGGGGCAAAAGTAGATGTAACGTTGTATAAACAAATAGTGGGAAGTCTGATATATCTCACAACTACTCGTCCTGATCTCATGTTTGTTGTAAGTTTGATTAGTCGTTTTATGACATGTCAAACACAGCAACATTTTGCAGTAGCTAAAAGGGTTTTAAGGTACTTGAACGGTACGATAGATTATGATATATTTTATAGAAAGAGAGAAGTTAGTGATTTAATTGGATTTACTGATCGTGACTATGTTGGAGACATGGAAGATAGAAGAGTACTTCAGGCTATGTGTTTATGATAAGTAGAAGAGTAGTAGCTTGGTTTTCTCATAAGCAACCTGTAGGCACCTTATCAACCACAGAAGCTGAGTTCGTTGCTACTAGCGCCTGTGCGTGTCATGTTGTTTGAACAAAGAGGATACTCAAAGAGATTGGTCACTCTCAAATATAGGTACCCGATCTTTATGACATATCTACCATATATATTTCTACCCGATTTTTACTAAATATCTATATATATATATCTCCATCTTTACAAACAACAAACCCAACCCAACACGAGTTGTTTTATTTTTTAATTATTTAAGAAACGTCTATTTATTCACATTACATATTACATTAATAACTAAAATATGATTAAGTATAAATATCAAACATTTATAACTTGCAACGCATCACTAATATCGATAATAAATGTCAATAGTCTTCATAATAATCTTAAAAGTATGGTTGGGTTGGATTATAATTCTATTTTCGAGTTCGTTAAGTTATCCGATCATATAAACGCTCTTATCCAACCTAAAGTTAAGAGACTGGTATGGTGATTGCTCTCGGTGGCTTTCGATGAATACAAACGCCATTGGAGGAACTTGTTAGTATAAGTAGGGCGAGGCATGCTCGTGTAAGGTTTAGAAGTTTAGACACGCTCGTGATTTTGTGTTAAGTTTAAATTTTGCATTCGATATCATTTTTAAAAAAATAAGAAAATAAATATTATATTACAAATTTCAATTAATCACAAAATTAATTTTTGCTTAATAAAATATTTAATTTATTTAGGGACATGTTAATCATAATTTAAAATATTGTATTTTATGATAATTATAATATAACAATTATTATCTCTGCCATTTTCGCGGCCAGACAGAGCCACGACCAGACAGAGCCACGACCAGGTCTCCCTTTTCGTTCCCTAAACCCAGTTTTTGTTCTTAAACCCTATCGTCTTCGTTGCTGCAATCGCCCTCCGGCACCCTCTCTCGGTCACAGCAGCTCGGAATTCTTCTGCAACTGCTCGTTGCTGAGATCCACATTCAATCTCTCTTGTGGTCGCCAAACACACACATCGACGGTGAGTTTGATTGCTCGATTTTAGTTTCCCTGGTATCGGGAGTTTGATTTGGTTTTGATTTCTCTGCTGATTGAGTTTTTTATTTTTATTTTGGCTTCTTCACTCGATTTTGATTGTCTTGGCTTTCAAGGAGCCATAGATTTTGTTTGCGTGTTCTGCCCCCCACCGGCACTTGCTTCCCCTTTCTACTTCTCCACAAATTTTGCGTAATTTAATTTCCCCTTTCTCTTGTCTTCTCTGTTTTGGTTCTTCGGATGGGTTAGTTTGGCAGTGTGCTCGTTCAGATGCTCTCAGCTCCACTTTTCTTTGATGATTTTCTTCTCTGATCGTGTTTTTCTCCAATTTCTTTGATTATGTATTTTCCTCGAACAGTTGGGTTCATAATGAGCTACAATTTGATTGGTGGACACTTTCAATAATAGAGAGATTAGAATCTACTGATAGGTGTGTAGAAAGGAACTAATTGAAGATGTGTTACTGAGAGAAGACTATGTACAGATAGAGATTATGAGGGAAATGTTTGTGATTAGATATCAGCCCAGAGAAGGCGTTCAAATGGTGAGAGAGGTAACTGAAAATGTGCATACGCATACGAAATAGTGAGAGAGAGTGGGTAGCCAGTAGCGATAGGTAAGGAAACTTGAGTAAGGATCTTATGTTAAGAGGATGAAATTGAAAAATCAGCCAAAGATATCTCATCTTTTGATAGAAATGTTATGCTATTCAATAAAAGAAAAAAAAAAAAAATAGGAGGAATTGATTGGTGGGATCATTATATCTGTGATGTCCCTCATTGGTTGGGGAGGAGAACAAAACACCATTTGTAAGGGTGTGGAAACCTTACCCTAGCAAATGCGTTTTAAAGCCTAAAGAGGACAATATCTGCTAGCGGAGGATCTGGATCGTTACAATATCCACACTTAATTTAGTCAGGGGATTATTTTCGTGTTGCACTGTATTATTTTGCTTCATATTTATGATGTAGATGGAACAACCCACGATCAATATGGAATGAATGCATATTTTATTTGGTGAGAATAAACAAATTGGAGCCTTTCTTCTGTTTTTTACTCATCGATGGCCTGGAGTTTGAACCCTATCTGCATGTCTTCCTCATAAGCAGAAAGAAAAAAGGACAAATGAAGGAATCCCAGCCAAAAAAGTAATAATTTGAATGTCTCTTAGATCATACTATAGATTGACTTCACTATTTCCCCAGGTGCTTGCCCAGTGCTAAATCCATCATAATTGTTATAAATCATCATATAATCACTAAGATAGCAAAATCACGCATCTGTTTCCCTCATCTTCACCAAACAAAGAGGGGGAAAAACCACCACGAACCTATACAATTGCAACTCCTAACAAAAAAAGAAAAAAAACACCATGTTTTGGCGACCCAAATGATAAAACCTCAAAAATTGCTACCATGTTTCAGAAAACGAATAGTACCCCCTCAAAGAACAACTTTATCCCAAGAACTAAACTGCACTGGAAACCAAAATCACACTGAAAACAGTACCTCAATGGCACAAGAAGGGTTAGTAGCTTCAACAACAGAGCTTCCCATCTCTGCCACTACTGGCGGATTACACTCCTCTGCTCGCCCCACTAGCTCTTCCTTTCTAGCCATTGCGTCGAAAGAAACCCAAAACCAAGAAGACTAGAAGAAAAAATTATGATATGGTGAGAAGATGATTTTGTCACGGACATTCAGAACAGTTAGAAGCAACAGAGAGGAGTGAAGAAGACGGTGAGACAGCTCAAGTTTCGCACTGTAATGGAGATTTGAAAATGGAAAAATGGGATAAAATTTTGAAGTGAAAGAAAGATTCTAAGAATAGGCGACTAAGCTCCCATAGAAGAACTTCATCCTGCCAAATCACCGAATAAAGGCCAATACCCAGAATCATTTGTATTCCTCATTATAACTGATGATAAATGGTTGGAGAGACTCATTAAGATTTCTCTAGAAGTCTCAAATTCCAAGCATGTTGAGAAGAATTCTCGACCTAGTTGAGAATTGATACAAAGGAGGGAAGGCAGTTGAAAGAACTTCCCCATTAAGCCAAGTGTCAAAAGATCGTATGAAGGTCTTGACCTATTCGATATTGGATATGATCATGAATAAGAGAGATGGTCAAACTAATGAAACACGAAGGGAACTTGAAAGAACCCATGACAATAGGAGTAAGCCAAAAACAATCTGCATCCAAAGGGGAATACTAGCCACTATAAGTTGGCCCCACACGAAGTTCATTTAGCAACACCAAATTCATTTAGCAAGGAGAGCCTCATTCCGTTTAAGATTACCAATACCAAGTCCACCCAAAAGTTGAAGGAGCTGAGTTTTTAACCAATTAACGTCATGCATCCACCTTCCTTGCGTACCTTCCCAAAACAATATCCAAGAAGTTTGTCCATCATGTTAGCAACCTTTTACGGGAGATGAAACATGGAAAGGTAATAGATAGGCATATTAGAAAGAGTGGCTTGTATAAAAGTATGCCGTCCACCTTTGGAAACAGAAAAGTGACAAGGGAACCAAAACCTTTATTCTTGAGAATAGCATCAAGAAAACTCCAATCTACCTTATCAAATGCCTTCTCCAAATCAAGCTTAATAACCTCTTCTGTCCATAGCCAACACGTCCGCAATCTTTTCAGAGTTGATACCAAGTAGTTCGTTGTTCTATGGATAAAGAACCACCCTCCAACCTATCCATCCCTTTTAGCTGAGCGACAAAGGAAGGAAGCTGCTCCATCTCAACCTTATCATGAAACCTTGCCCTGGCCAAACACTTTTTTAGCAGTTTGATACTTCCTAATTCGTTGGTGTAAATGTAAACACTCTTTTACCAACCTTCTTTAATTTCCAAATCAAGAACTTTCTTGTAATACACTTTTTGGTTGTTGGAATCTATTGACACACTTTATTTCATTCATCAATGAAATTTGATTCTCTTCTTACAAAAAAAACATACTTCCTAACTGAAAACCCTTTTCCATCTGAGTTTAGAAGCTTACATGAGTTTGGCTTGGAAAGAAGCTTACATGAGTTTAGCCTATTTTCTTTTGTATAGTAAGTAGCTTGCCAGGATAAATTGGAGCCTCAAGAACTTAAGGGTATTCTAAGTTCTGAGTTTGAAATGGAAGGCTTGGAGAAAGCTAAAATAATCATTTTAGGGGCATGAAAATCTCAAGAAATAGACAATAGGGTGAATTTTCTTAATCAACCTACAAGCATCTTTTACCTTGAAAAAATTCAACGTGGACTCTGCCGTGCAAAAGCAGTGAAAGTTCCCTTGTGACACCCCCTCAACGGATGAAATTAGCTGAATTTGCTATTACGTGTTAGGAATCACGAACCTCCACAATGGTACGATATTGTCCACTTTGAGCATAAACTCTCCTGGCTTTACTTTGGGCTTCCCCAAAATGCCTCGTACCAATGGAGATGTATTCCTTACTTATAAGCCCATGATCATTCCCTAAATTAGCCAACGTGGAACTGAAACCACTTCCATTTTAGCTTTACTATTTTTCTCTCTCCAGCTAATTATATACCCATTTTCCCTCACAGCAACAACTTTGGTGCCAGGTTAATACCAATGGAAAAACAGAAAGATAAACCATCAGCTGCAGCAAACCCACCCATTCCTTCCTGTAGAAAGAAGAAAAATGAAGACGGTACATTCTTGGAGGATTTGAAGGATCACATCGACGAGTTCATTCATGCATCGATGGACGAACACAAATCGTGCTTCAAGAAAACTATCAACAAGGTTAATCTCATTTTCTTCTCTGCGCATCTAAAAGAGAAATAATCATGTTTCTGAGATATGTGGTGGATATGTTTCGTTACAAACTCAAAAATCTTTTGATTCGTTACAGATGTTCCGTATGTCAAAAGTTGTGGCAGATAGGAATTCAGAGACAAGTGGAGTTGAAAGTTCTCTGCCTCTTCGAACAACAGTATCAGAGTAAATTCTCTTTCTTCCTTTCTTCAAGGATACTTTGTCTGCATCTTCAACCAACTCCATGAAATCTTGGATTCCTGTTTATAGTTTATTTTACATGATTCCATATGAAACGTTACCGTTTTGTCTCCCTTGATGAGCTATTAATTGGTGTTATATTTTGAGCCACCAACCTATACTGTTCTTGGAATGTTTCTTGCTTGTTTGGTTACCTGTTGATGCTTAGAGTTTGTCTAAAAGGACTTGATTTCTGTTTCCAGATTTTGAACTAGTCCTAATATCCAGTTATTTAGGTCACTATTCAATTAGTTTAAATCAAACCGTTAACTTTTTAGATGATAACATGTAACAACCCAAGCCCATCGCTAACAAATATTGTCATCTTTGGACTTTCTCTTTCGGGCTTCTCCTCAAAGTTATTAAAATGCATCTGCTAAGGAGAGATTTCCACACCCTTATAAAGGTTGCTTAGTTGACGTGGATCTCACATACCAGGTATCCTATCTATTAAACCATGTTTTCGACACGACCTTGTTAGCTTGAAAAGAACGTAAAGTAAACTCATTCTCCTACATTGATTAGCATTTTTGGTTGGAAAAATACACTAAAAAAAACATAGAATTGCAGGTTTACACTGATGGATTCCTGCAATTTGATAGATTAGTCATCTTAGGGGCAAAAACAGCAACCACCATCCACCTTTATTCTTCCTCTCATCCCTCCCAGTTGCTTGCATTTTCAGCCTATTTATTGAAGCTTCAGGTTTCTCATCCTGCAATTACTAAATAAGTTAACCCCTTTATTGCAATTTCCAAAAACATAATTTAAATTTCATAGTGATTTTTGAAAAACTTTAGATTTTTTTTTTTTTTTTTTTTTTTTT